GAAGACCCTCAATGAGATGGATTGATTCAGTGACTAGGGTAATGGGGTAAGTTTGTCAGAGACAGTGAAATTGGCACAGGATAGAGCATGTTTTAGGGCTATTGTACATACGGTCACTATGAGTCACAGGAGACTTGACGGCACATAACAACAGCAACCACAACAATGTTGTTGTGTGCCGGTGAGTCAGAACAGATGCACAGCTGACCCTCCATTGTATTTTCAGAGGAAATAAATCACATGGGAAGGGATTGCCTGTTTATCTCTTACCGAGCAGCTGGTAGACTCAAACCTTGGTGTTGGTAGTGTAACTCCTTAGCCACTCTACTACCAGAGTTCATAATAATAATTATAGAAATTATTTTAAAACTAAACCAAACCACTAAACCCCAAGTCCTTGACTCATTGCTGTGGAGTTGATTGCAACTCCTAGCGATTCTATAGGATGGAATAGAGCAGCCCCATACGGTTTCCAGGGCTGCAGTCTCTGCAGGAGCAGATTGCCAGATTAGTCTCCCTTGGAATGGATGAATTTGAACTGCTCACCATTCTGTTAGCAGCTGAGTGCATAACAACTGTGTCACCAAGGCTACTTAGTAATAATGAGGACAGCTGTAATTTGTGGAGTGCTTGTCATTATATGTTGGGCTGCTGATAGAAAAGTTGGTGGTTTGAACCCACCAGCTGCTCTATGGGAGAAAGATGAGGCTGTTTCTGATTTTATAATAAAGTTTATTGCCTTGGAAACCTGGTGGAATCGATTCAGAGGCAGTGAATTGGTGGGTTTTGGGTTTGCTGTTTGACAGGCATGCTGTCAAGTTCTTTACATATACGTATCTCTGATCATCAGTGGAATCTGAGAAGATTCATTCCTGCTTTCCTGATGAGGAAATCAAGGCTTAGAAGAACCAAGTAACTTCTCACAACATGGAACAACAGGAAAGAGGTGGAATTTAAACCTCAAACCCGAGGCTCTTTCTCTGTTCTCGACTGCTTTGGCTGTCAGTTTTGAGCCTCAGTTTCCTCGGTGGTAATATCAGATCCTAATTCTTGCTCCACCCGTCTGTGAATTATGTAAGATTTACTGGAACTCATGATGGGAAAGTGCTTGGCAGATTATGCGATAGCATCTCATACCATTGCTTCATCAGTTATTCTAGTGATACATATCTTCAATCTCTTCCTTTCTGTTAGCTTCTTCATCTGGCCTACCAATGTGCTAAGATAATCCTTATCTCTGAACACAAAAAATAAACCTCTCCCACGATCTGTGGAGAGACTCTGGCTCGCTTGCATTATTTTCTGCCAAACAACTTCAAACAGTAGTGTCTTGGATACACATTCTCTCTAATCTCCGTGCTCTGACTATAACTGTTGGTCTGCCCAAGCCAGTCTTTCCAACTTACCAGCCACGTGCCACTCTTAAACACATCCCCTTTTCAGTCTTTAATGTCGTCACTTCAGTGTTTGAAATTGTGTACCATTTCCTAAAACTCTTCCTTCTTGAGATATCTTCAGCTCCCTGCTCTCTTTAGTCTCCACTAGAGATGAGATCTGTTGTTTATAGTGTTGCTGTGAGTCGTAGTTGGCTCAGCAGCACCTAACAGCAGCAACAGCAGAGATTGGAAGGCCTTAGTCTTTTTTACTCTCTGTTAGTAAGCCATAGGAGTGAGCTCAGGGTAGTATTACCTACAGCCTGACTAGCGCCTCCTGAATGTATGTGTGACTAACATTTTCTGTAGAGCGTTTAAAATTGGACAAAGGAATTGAAAGTCCTTGCTCTTTTTCCATATCACCACTTGTGAGCTGTTCCAGATAAAGCCAGTGGTAGCTCTTCATTGAAGCCAAGGCTCTCCCTCGCCTGGCACTGCCCTGCTGCATATCCCACTGAGTTAGAGACAGGTTGTGAGTGATAATAACAGCTGTTTGTATGGGGCTCTGCACCCCTGAAAGACGAGATAGAGCCTCATGCACTGAGGTGGGAATCGTGGCAAATTATTTAACTTAACAAAGGAAATTGCAGAGTAGTATGAATCACATTATTTTGCATAAAAATATGTATGTATATGTGTGTGGTTTTTTTTCATGTCTGTGTCTGTATCTGTACAGTTCTTTGCGTAAGAAAAATACCTGTAAGGATAGACAGATAGAATAGCCACCTTTAGACTGTTTGAGTAAGAGCCTGGGAGTGGTGGGGGCCGGGAAAGGATGATAGCACAATGTTATTTTCTGCCCTTTATTGTTATTTGAGTTGTTTCTTATAAACAGGATGTTTCTTTTACTTTTATAATACATTGCAGTTAATCAGTTGAATTCTTTAGCCACTATGCCATCAGGAGTCCTAGAATAAGAAATAAAATTCTTAACTATTTGACAGTCAGTTCTGACTTAGAGACATTTCAGGGGGTTTCTGAAGCAGTAAATCTTTCTGAAAGGAAATGACCTGGAAGGAAAAGATTTTTCTATCAGGAGCTGCTGGTAGATTCAGACTGTCCCACCCTTGTCTACAGTGTCACCAGAGTGGTGGAAAAAAAGTAGGTATTGTCCCCCTTAGCCTAACTGATGCTTGTTAAATGCTGACTTTGAGGCTTTTCAAAGAACTTTATCTTTACTACCTCATTTGAACCTCACAGCGACTATATAAGGTAGGCATGATTATTATCCTGGTTTTTATGGATAATGAATGAAACAGTACAGGAAATAATTTATTCCTGATCACAGCAAAAGTGGTGGAGAGTGAGGGTTTAAATTCAGGCATTCTCATTCCTCAGCTGAGGAAAATTAAACCAAATCCGAGGCAACCAAAATATGACTTTGAGTCTATCCCACCTGAATTTCAGAACCATCTCAGGAACAGATTTGAGGCTTTGAACACTAATGAACGAAGGCCAA